TTTGTAATGTAATTTCAGGGCAGCTATTGTCCTACCTCCAGCATCACCTTTTCTGCTTAGGATTGCTTTGGCTTCATGGGATCTTTGTGTTTCCATATGGATTTTAAGATACTTTTCTTTTGCTAGTTCTGTGAGGAGTATCATTGGTTTTTAGAAATGAGAAGTGTATTGATTATAGTTAACTTTTTATAATATAGCTATTTCCACTGTGGGTTCTAAGTACCAAGTTCAAAGCCCTTCAGTCTGTACGGCAAGCACTTTCGTTTGAGCCATCTTGCCTACCGTCCAGTCCAGGAGCGTGGAAGTTGTTTCCATCTTCTGTTTCTTCAGTTTCTTCTTCAGTGTCTTGAAGTTTTCAGTGTAGAGGTCTTTCGCTGTCTTGGTGAAATTCCTTGTTTTATTTTTAATAAAATGTAATTTATTGGGAATGGGATATTTTTCCCTAATTTCTTTTCTGTTAAGTTTTTTATTAGCATATAAAATAACTGATTTTTGCATGTTGATTTTGTTTTGTTTTGTTTTTCGAGATAGGGTTTCTCTGTGTAGCCCTGACTATTCTATAGACCAGACTGGCCTTGAAGTCACAGAGATCCATCTGCCTCTGCCTCCCTGAGTGCTGGATTAAAGGCATGTGCCACCACTATATGGCACATGTTGATTTTGTATCCTTCAGCTTTACCAAAAGTGTTTATCAGATATAAAAATTTCCTAGTGAAGTCCATAGGGTCTTTTAAATATAGAGCCATGTATACAAATAGGGATAATGTGACTTCTTCTGTTTCTCTTTATATCCTGATTATATATCTTTTGGGCCTTAGTGTTCTAGTTAAGACTTCAGGTACTAGATTGAGTGAGAGTGGAGAGACTTGGCACCCTTGTTTCATTCCAGATTTTAGAGGAAATGCCCGCAATCTTTCCTGAATTAATGGAATATACCTTATGGGTTTGTCATCTATAGTCATTATTACGCTTAATTATGTTCCAACTACTTCCAGTTTCCTTAGAACTTTTATCATGAAGGCATGCTGAATTTTGTCAATACTTTTTCTGCATCTGTCAAGACAATCATATAATTTCCTTTTTAATTACATTTTTATGGCTTATTACATTTATTGCTTTGTATATGTTGAGCCAATTTTGCATTCTTGCGATGAAACCAGCATGTCATTGTGTATGGTCTTACTGTGTTCTTGAATTCAACTTGCAAACGTTTTAGTGAGTTTTGCATCTGTGTTTATAAGAGAAATTTGTCTATAGTTTTCTTTTTTCTGTTGTGTCTTTATTCAGTTTTGATATTAGATTAAAACTGCCTTTGTAGCATTCTTTCATTTTGTACTTTGTGGGACAACCTGAGAAATATTGGTTGTTAGATCTTCCTCAAAATTGGGTAGAATTCATCAGTAAATCCATCTTATGTAAGGCTGTTCTTTGTGGGGATGCTTTTCATTACTGTTTGTGGTGGTTTGAATGAGGATGGCTCCCAAAGACTCATGTATTTGAAAATTTGGTCCCCAGTTGATGGAACTGTTTGGGAATGGTTAGGAGGTGTGGCCTTGTTGGAGGAGGTGTATCACGAGGGGGTGGGCTTGAAGGTTTTCAAAAGACTTGCACAATCCCCAGTGCCTGCTCTCTCTTTCTGCCTCCTACTTGCTGGTCAAGATGTGAGCTCTCGGCTGCTGCTCCAGCTGTTCCTGCTGCCATGCCTTTGCTCTGCCATCATGGTCTCTAGCCCCCTGAAACCATAAGCAAAATTCAGTGTTTTATAAGTTTCCTTGATCATGATATTTTATCAAAGCAATAGAAAACTAACTAAGATACTGTTTTAACCCCATTGCTTGTTTTGGTCTTTTAAAATTGTTTTATCTTTCAGATTAATTTTGATATTCATATGAGTATAGAAACCCATTTCTTCTCGATTTCCCAGCTTTTTCGAATATATGTTTTTATTCCCTAATGGTGGTCTAGGTTGGAGGACTGTTGGATTTTGTTCTTACAGCTCCCCTTTCACCTCTTATTTTGTTGTGTTGGTCTCTCTTTTGGTTAGTTTGGCTAAGGGTTTGTTCATCTTGCTGTCCTTTTAAGAGCCATCCAATGCATTTAGTTTGGCTTCTTTTTCTAGAATCTTGAGTTGGGTGATTAGGGTATCTGAGATCTCTCTGATTTTTCTTTTTTCTTTTTTTTACTTTTTTTTTTTTTTTTTTTTTTTTTGGTTTTTGGTTTTTCAAGACAGGGTTTTGTGCCTTTCCTGGAACTCACTCTGTAGACCAGGCTGGCCTCGAACTCACAGAGATCAGCCTGCCTCTGCCTCCCGAGTGCTGGGATTAAAGCATGCACCACCATCACCTGGCTTTTTTCATTAATGAGCTGTAAGCTTTCCTTTTAGGAGAATCTCAAGAGATTCTGGCTGAATGTGCTATGTTTTCGTTTGACCCTAGAACTTTTTAAATATCCTTTCAGATTTCCTTAGTGGCCCTGTTCAAATGTGTATTGTTTAGTCTCCATTGTCTTTGTGTAGTTTCTGAGATTTCTTTTGCATTTGCTTTCCAGTTTTATTTGACTATGGTCTGATAAAATATATTTTTTTCTTTATTGTATTTGTGGAATCTTGTTTTGTGGTCTATCATGTGGTCAATTTAAGAGTAGGTTCCATGCATCCCTGGGAAGAATGTGTGTTCCCTGTTTGTTAGATGGAATATTTTGTAGGTATCTGTTGAAATCAGTTGGTCTATGGTATAATTTAGCATTAATGTTTTTTTGCTGATTATTAGTTTGGAAAGCTATCTAAACATGAGTGGGATATTGAAGTTTCCTGCTATTATTGTATCAGGACCTTTGTGGCCTTCTGTGACCTTCATTGTTTTATGATACCGAAAGCTCTAAGATTCAATGCCAAAAGTACTTCGTGTTGTCTTCCTTTGGCTCAGTTTTTGGACATTTTTGCCAGCTAAGTCTATTTCTTAGAAAAAAAAGAAAACTCTTTTTTTTTTTTTAAATCCAGTCAGTTAGTCTGTATCTTTTTAACTGGTAAACCCATTTGCAAATAAAGTCATCCTTGAGGGAGAGTTGTTATTTCCCATGGCTTTGTCTGGTGGCTCTGGTTGGTTGGATTATTACTTGTTTTCTTCTCGGGCTCAGACTAAGAGCTTGCTGTGTTAGACACAATGGTTTCTCATAGTCCTTTGTTCTTCTGGTGCTTTCATGGAGTGTGGCCTTTCCTACATGTTTTATGTGAAATTGTCCTTCTCTCTCCTCTGGCGATAGTGTTACTTTAAGAATCTTCTCCAATGCTGCTGTGGTTGAAGTGCTGTAATTTGTGCTTTTCTTGACCTGCTTTTATTTCTCCCTCCATTCTAAAAGATAATCTTGCTGTTTTTAGAAATCCTGGTTGGCAGTTACATACTTCCAGGGCCTGAAGTAGACCATTCCCTGCTTTCTTGACTTTTAGAGTGCTCATTATTCTGATGTTTCTGTTTCTGTGTGTGAGTTGGCATTTTCCCCTTACAGCTTTTAGTATTGTTTCTTTGCTTTGCATTTTTGGACATCATGACTATGATATATTATGTAGGGATTCTTCTCTGGTCATAACTATTAAGGAGTTATAAATGCCTCTTGATTTGGATGTCTATCCCTTTCTTGTATCTGTCTGTTACAATCTTATTGACTAAATTGCCTATACATTTTTTATCTCAGCTTCTTCTGCTAACTTTATTCTTGGGTTTGGTCTTGAAAGTTTTGGTAGCATTTATACATCTGAAATTATTATTGTCTTGACTTGTTTCTCTGTCCCTGATATTTGTTCTCTTACTTTGTCTTGTTTCTTGTTGTTGTTGTTGGTAGTGATGATGATATGAGTGTATGTCTCTGTGTGTGCGTGTATTACGTTTTCCTGTGAGCATTAGAGTAAGAGTTTTCACGGGTGCTAAGGTTCTGAACTTGGGTCCTCCTGCTTATGCACCAAGCACTTTATCCGCTGAACCATCTCTTTAGTCCTGATGAAGCTTTCTACTGTGTTTTTATTTGATAAATTGATCCTTTTATTTCACGAATTTGGTTCTTGTTCAGAGTCTCATTTTCCTTGCTGATTTTTATCTCTATTTTTTTTTTTTTAAATTTCTTCTCCAAGTTACTAACCATTTCATTTCCTTTGCTTACTTTCTTGTCTGGATCCTGAATTGATTTTCTTCCCTTGTTCATCTGCTTTTTTGAGGTCTCTGCATGGTCACCGGTTCCTTTTAAATGTGGGACTTGGAAATATTTTGACATTTGAGTGATCTCACTATCTTTCGCTTTCATTATTTGGGAGTTATGAGCTTATGAAAGAGAAGTAGTATTTTTCTGTTTGTTCTTTGACCCCCACATCTCTGCTGTAGGTAACAATCAAGTGCCTGTACTCAAACACGGGTATCATTAAGACATCATACACAGAAAATAAAATTAAATAAAAATTAGAAATATAGGTAGAGGAATGGGCATCTCCACAGTGGGAACATAAAATGGTATGGCCACCCTGGAGAATGATTCAGTAGTTTCAGCCTAAGTTCTCTTCATGATAGTCAATACCTAGAAACATGCCAGTGTCCATCAACTATGAGTTATCAGATAAGTAGGTAGAGTGGCTCTTCCCAATGACTGTTACTACTAATAAAGAGAGCAATGTACTGATGAACAAATAGGGGTGAATGTTGGAGACATAATGCTAAGTGAAAAAAGACATGGACTTTTTATGGTTCTATTAACTTGTATGAAAGGCAACACTATAAACATAGAAAACAGGCCAGCTACCTGCAACTGGTTATGAGTACAGAAGTTTATTGCAAATTGTCACAGTGTCGTGGTGTCCTAGAGCTGGATTGTGTGGAAGTTGCACAGTTGTTTGAATTTGCTGAAGTCTGTTTGAATACTACCTTTGAAATGTGTGAGTTTTATGATAGGTGATACTTCATTACTGCTGTTATAAACAGTCAAAAATATATTTTTAAAACATCCTTTTTCTTCTCCAGGTAATTCTCTGTAGGAAATTTTCTGAGAAGCTGGAACAGTTTCCACTGCTAGCTTCTTGGTACCAGCGGATTCAGGAAGTGCCAAAAGTCAAAACAGCAGCTTCTAAGTGTGGGATCCACTTTCTATATTTACCAGAATTGCTGAATTCTGCAAGTAATACGCACCTGAACTCCATGGAAGCGACAGCTGGAGAGGAACCAAACGATCCTTCATTTACAGGAGGACCAAGACCAACTATGACCAAGTTAATGGTATTTAGCTTCTTTCCTACAGTTTTCTTTTTGAAAAGTAGCCCTTGAGCATTCTTTCCCAACTAGTAATCGTTTTCTCATGTCATCTATAATACATTTTATTTATAGCTATTTGTATCTGTATTTACCAAATAATGTTTCTGCTAGTCTTATGTTCAAATAAGCCACAATAAATTGAATAGCTTTCATGCTGTTTCTCTTTGGAACCAAGTCAAAATACATAGTTTAAAAGTAATTTTTTTAAAAGACATTTTTAGATATTCACCTTGTGGACCAATGTAACATCATATCTGGTCAAGTGTATCCTTTTAACCTAAACTTGCTGTGTTACAGAATTTTGATTTCAGTCTTTATTTTAGTTATTTATTGAGTTAATGTTTCTTTGTCTGGTATATTTAAAGTAACACGATAGTCTCCATCTATCTTTATATGAGTGTCATGATTTCATGATTTTTTCTAACTTCAGGTTTTTATGAGAATTTTATATGAGTATGTATTTACACCATTTCCACCTTCCCTGTTTCTTCTCCAACTTTGTCTGTGTCACTCCACTTCTCAAATTCATGGCCTGTTCTTTAATTACACACACACACACACACACACACACACACACACACACACACACACACACACCCCAAACCAAACAAAAAACCCCACTGAATCCATTTAGTGTTGCCTCTATGTGTATGTGTCTAGGGGTGTCCACTTGGGATTAGATAACCTATCAGGGGACTTGTTCCTGGGGAAAACTGATTCTCTCTTTCTCTCTCAACAGCAATAGCTCCCTGTAGGTTTTCATCTAGGAGCCTTGTGATATTTCCCCCATCTGAGGTTGGCTTGATGATTTCATGGGAGCTGTTTCTTTGCCATATGTAGAAGAGACTATCTTGAAGAAAACACACTAGCCGCCTGGATCTTACAATCTTTACCTTCTTCAATGCTCTCTTGAACCTTAGGCCTTGTGTTGTAGTTGTATCAACTGGGGTTGGGCACACAGCGGACTTTAGTCTTTGTATTTTGACCAGTCATGGATTTCTGCAGTTGTCTTCATTGCCACAAACAGAAGCATTGTGATTAGGAGTGAGGCTACCCCTATCTGTGGGTTTAGAATTCAGTTAGGCAGAAGTGAGTTCTTCTATAGGGTCCACAGGTAGTTGGCTATGTTTGCAGTACTAGGCATGAATTCTCCGCCACTGAGCAGGCCTTCAGTCCAATTAGATAGCTATTGGTTAACCACAAGATAAAGACGCCACTGTTGTACCTTTGTGGATATGTTTTGTGCTGGTCATTTTTGTGGCTCATGGCCTTTACAGCTGAGTAGAACTATTGATTGCTTCTCTCCCTTGGTAGCTTGGCCTACAGATACTATTAAAGTTAGTCTTTGGGGAGGAGGCTTCCAGGTCAGTTCTAGCTCAGTTCCTAAGTCCCGTGACTGAAGTATGTGGTCTCTTCAACAATCGGGTCTTGCCTGTAAGTCCTGGGAGGTAGCCATCGGCGATGGCACTGGCCTGTATTGCTCTGGGAGATTGCAGTTTTAAATTTAAGATGATGATTTAAAGTTAAATTTAAAGAAATAGATGTAAAGAAATAGAATTTAAATAAATCTTTGAAATAAATGTAAAGATTTTAATAAATAGAAATGTGAATACCTCAATTTATTTTCCAAAGTGCATATACTTGAGAAGGGTACATTTTGTTGTATACTAGCAGTATCTCAATATAGAAGTATTATTTTAAAAGACCCTGAAGTAGGAATGAGATTGGAAATGAGTAATAGCAAAGTCAGAGTAACGGCAATAGAAATGCGCTAGGTGACTTCAGAGCGATGTGTTGTTTATTCTTCTAGAAACAAATGAGTGCTTGATTTCTAGATCTATAGAGATACCTATATCTCTAGTAAAGTGATTTTTCCCTTTCTTTTGGGACCCAAATTCAGTTAGTTTTCATAATAAAAAGGAATCTCATGGATAACTGTTATCAAATAGTTAAAGGTGAATTATCAGCAATTTTTATTATATTTTACTTGTTTTGTTATGTTTTTGTTTTCTCTTGAAAGAGATGGGAGTTCTTAATGTTGCCTACTCTGGTCTCACTCGTGGGGTCAAGTAATTCTCCTACCTCAGATTTTTAGTGCTGAGACTTCTAGATGTACACCACCATCCCTCGCTATAAATTTTCTTTAAATGGGCTTCCTAGAGATGATAATATCTGAACAGTGATCATCTATGTTGTGGGATATGGATTCACATTTCATGATTGGAAAAATATAAATCCATATATTTGCCATGCCGCTATCTATAGAACAAATAATAAATTTACAGCTTTTGGTTGTTTGTTGATTGATTTGAGATGGATCTTATGCAACCCAGGCTGGCCTTCATCTCCAGATCCAAGTGCTGGGATTAAAGCAATGTTTCACCATGCCTAGCCTTAGATGCATAATTTCTAACATAGGAAAGAACCCTAGAGGACAATTTAATGACTTAAAAAACAGTTCTTCTTTAAAATTTTAGAATCTATTAGAGATACAACCACGGATAAACTGATAGGGTGATATTCTGGGGTATGCGTTATGTTGACAGTTTTTAGGTACATTGAATGAAGCTTGCAGTTTAAATAGGTGGTTTTCATGTGTAAAGACAGACACTGATGATGGACAGTGGAAGATCAGATTTTTTTAATAATCTCTATAAATTTGTTTATTGATAAAGTTTTGTTTTCAAGTGATTTTTCTCTATTATACCGTGTGTGTGTGTGTGTGTGTGTGTGTGTGTGTGTGTGTGTGTGTGTGTATGTGTATGTATATATGTTTAGCCTGCCTGTATATATGTGTACCACATGCTTGCTTGGTACCAGAGTAAGTCAGAAGATGACATTGGATTCCTTGTAACTACTGTTAAGGATGGTTGTTAGTCACCATGTGGGTGTTGGGAACCAAACCCACCCCGGTCCTCTACAAGAGTGACAAATACTTTTAACTCCTGAGCCATTTCTTTGGCGCTGGCCTAGTATATTTATTGGCTTATTACTTTTATATGTTCCCAGCATTACTTTTTATTACTGCAATTAAAAAATAATAGCAATGTACTGATTTCAAAATAACATTTTGAACAGGAATTTTATATTTTTACAACATTTTGTATTTTTTATGTAACTAGATATTTGGGTACACATATGATTAATTTTAATTACTTTTGTTAGTATAAAAAATAGAAATGTGGGCTTTGAAAACAGGATTTTACTAGTGCACTAACTTGGAAAGCTTACTTCCTTTTCTAGGAAAAAGGCATTGAAGCGACGTTTTCTCCACACCCTTGTCCTTCTTGGACCCTTGACTGGAAAAACCTTCCTGCTGCTGTCAGCCCAAAGGAAGGTGAGCTTTGGTTTGCTTGTTGGTGTAAGGTTTTAAGTTCAATCTGGATACTCACTTCAGAGCCATCTTCCCACCCTCAAAATGTCCCTTTGGCTGTATTTAATATTCTAATGATATATCTACCATCCAGTGAGTTTTCATTTCATTTTTATTTTTAGAATTTCATATCACTCAGATTTAATGTTTTCTACATTTTCCTACATTGACTTCAGTATTTCTGTTTTTCTTTGATGACATATTTTAAAACAAATCTTAAGTATTATATTTTAGAATGTACAAATGACATCATCAATAACTACAATTCCATTTGTCACACTTAATAAAAATTAGGAAAATTCATTCATCATCTAGTAATTTATAATCTTTTCCTCAACTGTTTAAAATCTCATTTTAAAGAAATATTTCTTTACTGCTTGGTGTTTATTTGAACAACTATGTGTTTTATTATCTTAAATTATATTTGGTTTGTTTTAAATAAATTTTTTCATGGTCATATTTCAGTTTGCTGATTTTATGATTTTTATGTTGGATACTTATTCTAATAGTTAATCATGGAGTTCTAATTCTGTTATATTTCTTTTGGTGCGTACACTCCTAATTATTTACTTTCCTGTGGATTTTGTAGTGTTAGAGTATGAATTCAGTTTGGTGTTACCTTAATCTGTGGTTCTCAACAGTTTTGGGTTAAGGGTAAATCTCACAGAGTTAATATTTCCTCATTTCAAGCATCTCCAAATGTAGAACTTAAGACTATCATTGTTAGCCTTTCAGCTTCCAGTTCTGTCTGTCTGTCCTCCTTTGTTGCTGGCTGGGACTTTTGTATGTGTTTTCTCAGGTTACCGCTTTCAGTGTTTCGCTTTTCTGTAGTCATGGTTTCCCCAGCTCTGCAGAGACAGGGCGAGCTTCTCTTCTCCATCCTGCTATTCCAGGGCAGGTCCCTAATAGGTAGAAATGTCCTCAGGACAGCCTTGGTGCAGATTCAAGGTTAGTACACCAGTTTTCAGCCCTTCACCCTTTAAAAAAACTTTATGGATTTTCCTTACTTTCAGAAACTCGTTAAACATGTAAAGGGAACTTGATTTTTTCAATACCGTTTAAAGTGCTTTTTTAGGTGGAAAAAAATTTTAGCATAGATCAAAGGTTTATTTCTTCAATTATTTTCTCGTTCTTTAGTTTTGTTTTTGTTGCGAGTTTTAAAAATATATGTTATTAGCTCTTTGAGAATTCCATTCAAAGAATTTTGATCATATTCATTGCACATCTTCCAACTATTCCCAGGTCCCCTCCCGCATGTTCTACTCATTCAACATTATATTTCTTAAACCCATGAAAAATACTGTGGGCTTCCCAAATATTCTCTGAAGTGTGGGCTTTCACTGGAGCATAGTCTACTTACCAGGGCTACACACTTAGAGAAAGCTGACTCTCCCCATCTCAGCAGCCAGCAGTTACCAATAGTAGGGTGAGACTTCCTGTCCAGCTCCTCTCTCCATACTGGGATCTGGTCTTTCTTGGGCTGGCCCAAGTCTTGCACGTCCCATCACAACTGCCATGAATTGACGTGTGTTGCTATGTCCAGAGACACTGTTTCATTGCAGTTATGTTCTGCCTCTGGCTCGTACACCCTTTCCACCCCCTCTGCATGATCTCTTAGTCTTGAGAGGAAGGGGTTGAGGTATTTGTGTTCCATGGGGCTGAGCATTCAGCATTTTCTTCTTCTCTGCATGTTGGCCAATTGTGGGTCACTAGGTTAATCATCTGCCTATAAAGGATGGATGTATTTTGTAAAGGGTCAAAAGGGAGTACTGGAATAGAAGAGTTAAACTGGAATGGAGGAGGGAAGAGCAGAGTACAGGAGTAAATTCAGGGATGGATAAATAACACGAAAGACCTTTGAAAAAGCCACATGGAAAGGTACCACTATAGAAGCTTCCTACAATATGTGTATACACACATACATGAAAAGAGTTACAATGGAGTTGTCCTAGGAGCAACAATACCCTTACCAGATACCACAGTGCCTCACTGCGGACAGATGGCTCAGTGGTTAAGAGCACTTGCTGCTCTTTACAGAGGACCCAAATTTGGATCCCAGCACACATATGGTGTCTCACAACCTTGCAAGGGATCTGATGTCTTCTTCTGCTCTTGTGGACACCAGGTATACCTATGGTGCACATACATACACGCAGGCAAAACATATAAAATAAAATAAATCTGAAAATTAAAAAAAAAAAGAGGCCAGAGCCAGGAGTGTGTTACTTCTTTTGTAGTTGTTGGCCAGTGACATTCCATAGACCCAGCACAAAGAACCTATTGCCAGTGCTCTTGGTTACCCTTCAGAACTCGACAGTAAGACCCTGTTGTTGAAGAAAACACACTTAAGACACAGAACACAGAGAAATCAAGCTAGTACTGACCTAGAAACTTCGCGCCTGCTTACATCCCTTTAATTGGATCATCTGGTTTTTGTAAGTAGTGTGAAAAATAAAATGATGTAAATCACCATGGTTTATTCATGTATCAGTCATTGACTGTCACCTGGAAAGTTTTCAGTCTTGGATAAACTGAGGCAGAATTAGATTTGATGTTTCTTACTATATTCGTTTAACTGTATATAAACAATTTGACACCTACTGTAAGAACTATTTGTTTTTATTTTTACTAACATAGGGGCTGTTCGTCCTCATGCTAGAATCAGTTTTAAGTCTGTCCAATCTACCACTCTCTAACCCATTTCCCTTCTTATATCTTGTACTATCACCTTTCAGTTTCACTTTTAAATCTATATTAATTATCTCTATGTCCTCAATTTTATTTTTCTACCATTCTAGATACCATAATTGCCATTATTCTTGCCTATTCAAATGTACTCATCATTTAAGAATCACTTCAAATGCTACTTTGTATATTAAGCCATATTTCATACAGTCACCTTCTTGGATTCAAAGCCTAGTTGGGCAACCGCCTGCATAGGTAACCTGTGAACAGATGCTCAATATCTCTGTATTTTAGTTGCTTCAGTTGCATCTCTAAAGGGATGATGACATTGTCTTTAGGAGTATTTCTACATTCAGTGAATTAATATGAAGCACTCAATACAATGCCTAGTAAATTGTAAATGTTAATGTTAGTTAATATAGTAGTTGGAATTAATCACTCACTTGGCAACATTCTATTAGTTTATTTTTTACTTTATTATATGTATATGCATGTGTAAGTATGTATGTGATATTTGTGTTTGCATGTGCATACCATGGTGTGTGTGTGGTCACAGGACAAATATCTCAAGTAGCTTCTCTTAGTGCACTTTATTGGGTTCTAGGGATTGAATTCAGGCTTTCCCACAAGCCCCTTTACCTGCTGAATCATCTTGTTAGTCCTACCCTTGGGCTTTATCTGTCTCTGTGTCTCAGTCTCTGTCTCTACCTCTGTGCATGTGCGTGTGCGTGTGTGTGTGTTTGCATGTAGAGGCCAGAAGTTGACATTGGGTGTCTTTCTCAATTGCTCTCTACTTTGTCTGTCTGTCTGTCTGTCTATTTACTTTGATACAGGCTTTCTCACTGAACCTGGAGTTCATCAGTTGGGTAGAATGGCTGGTCAGGGATCTAACTGTTTTCACTCCCTTCAGGGCTGGGATTACAGATAGGTGCCAACACCCCGGCTTTTACATAGGTGCCCGAAATCTGAATTCCGGTCCCCATGTTTGCTTGGCAAGTACTTTATCAACTGAGCTATTTTCCCTGCTACCATCCCAAGTGCTTTCTTATGTTCAACTTAATATAAATATCATGCTTCTTATCCATTATAATTGCTCACGTGCATGCCTTTTCTTCTCAGACACACTGTAAGTTTTTGAGAATAGTAGTCCTCTGGATAGGTATGTAGCAACTTTATTAAGTTGAATAAATTCAAACTACTTTTTCTGTTAACCTCAGTTCTCCCTAAACATAGGAGATTAATTGAGATTGTTTAGTTTGAAGAAAAGAAAGCTATAGATTTGATGTGCTTTATTATTTTTATAGCCTGGGAGTAAATTGCTCGAATCATTCCTCTTTACTCCCAAACATCTAACTAGTCCCAGGAACACTCTGTTACACAGCCATACTGCAGTTGCTAAAATAGGATATTTAGCTTAGAATGTATTATCTAACCTATAGTCTACTGCATGTGGCATATTTAATTTTATGTCTCTATATTCTAACAAATAATTTCTTGTTTTTTTCATAACAATATAGTTTCTCAAGTAGTTAAGGTTTTTATTTCCTTTTTTCTTGACTGTGAATTTTTATTTATCTGCTGTTTCCTCAAACTAATCAGTTCCTCACTTTGTCATTATATTTGTTCATTTGCTTGGTCCTATAATATAAAAACATACTTTCAGAATTACTTTAACCACATTTGTATAAAATTTTTACCTAAGTTGACTTCCATACAGTTTATACTCTGTATGAACTTAAGCTGTGCCATCAAAGTTCTCATGAAGATAATTACAATCTCTTCAAGATGAATTCTGTTGTTAAAAAAGAATGAAGGGTTTAAGTCATTATTAATCATGTCTGCTGCTTGAAAAGACTTGGTAAGCATTTCAGTAGTTGACGAACTACCTCATACTACAACAGAATGTTCAAGCAATTACATACTCTCTTACCATAGAGTAATACTGTGTGACTGCCTATTCTTTATGATGAGCTAGAGTAAGTATTGTTTGAGCCTGAAACTCAAGTCCAGAATCATTCTTTTCTTGTGAATAGTCTTGTTCTGAGTTCAAAAACAGGAATGGATATAGTTTTTATTCTTAAAACCTACAACAAAGGTGTCCTATACTACCCCTTCCATGAACTCTTTGCCTTTGTAGCTTTCTCTGGTCTCTGCTAATTCTTAGATGGGTGAATCCTCTCCTAAAAATAGCTACTAACTCAAGGTAATTGTATCAGTCATTGGCGAGAAAAGACCCCGAAGTATTACCTGAAAGATGATAAAGTTGACAAATATTTTCA